AACCTCAACAGGCAGCTCGCCTGCACCCATGCGAGGGCCGTACTCTTAGACCAGCCAGGGACATTCCCTTAAATCAAACCTAGGGACGTTGTACGACCGAGTGCTCTCCGTTTACAAAGCTGCTACCCGCTACCAATGTCGTGCTGAGAGTAGTGTGCCTCGAGACATCTTGCGCACAGCATATCTACACTGGTCTTCTGGCCCAAGCATTCTCGGTTGTGTACTACATGTGCGAATTCCAGTGCTGTATCCGGTTTCATCCGGATGATAAAGGCCCTGGAATGGTCATCACTCCAGTCGCATTTCGGCATGCCGAGCATCTCGCCGAGCGCCAAGAGTGGTGACGGCAACAGCAAGCCGATGCGCAAGACCAAGTGCCGCAACGCGTACCAGCGTGAGATGCAGCGCATCTACCGCAAGGCCGAGGCCGACGAGCGCCAGCGGCTGCGGGATCAGGCGGCGGTGCTCGAGGCCAAGGTCGCTGTCCTGCGACCCGCCGCAAGCACGCTCCTGCCGTGGCAGCACGTCGCGATCAGTCTGCGCGACGAGCTCGATGCTAGCCACACGACACACGCCGATCTGCGCCGGCGAGTACGGCGGATCAATCTCTTGGCCCACCTCATGCACGCGTATGCGTCGTCCGTGCTCGCGTCGTCGGTAGGTCATCAGTGGCTTCGTGCGCTAACGCTCTATTGTAGACGCTTCTGCGTGGCCGCACCGAGACGTGGCAGCACGTCTCGCTGCCGGCTGCGATGCCCGCCCGCGCGCTCGGGCTCGACTGGATCACGCGCCAGCTCTACTACAACACGGACGCTGTCCTGTCGCAGCATGCGTTTCCACCGTGCACGACTCGCGAGGGCCAAACCTTCTTTGACATTGCCGTCTCGGACACGGACGCGACCGTGGTCATTCGACACCAGCGGCTCGTGGCGCGGCCACTGGCCGTCCTCACGGCGGCGTACCATGAGTTCTTTATTGGCGGCAACGGCTTTGGCTATGCGATCGAAGATCTGGACACGCTCCCGGCCACAGAAAACATGGTGTACCGACGGCGCAACGTGGGGAACCGTGTGCTTGGGGACTTGGTCCAAAACTACGTCCACCGCCAGTTTACTGCACCGACCCGGTCCGTGCTCGTGGCGCGCAATATTCTTTCGGACGACAAGGTGCCCCTCGGCCTCTACAAGCGCGACGCCTCTGGCTGGTAGGCGATTTCACGCAGGGTGCGTGAGCTCAATGATGCTGCGTAGGGTCGTTGCGACCGCGATGGGTGCTGACACGACGCTCGTACAAGAAGTGTGGAGCATCTGCCCGCTGCTCAAAGGCGCTTCGAACGACGTTGCGCCGTTTGCCGACGAAGCATGTCTGTATGGCCTCGATTTGCGCACGCTCCCGCCTGCGCTGCACTTTAGCGCGCTCCAGCAAGCCGTCCACCGCCTTGGGCAAAGCGTGCTCGCAAAGCGGGCCCAGTTCTTCGACACGGTTCGATGACAGTAATAGAGGCTACTACAGTACATGCGTGGCGATGGCTTGGTGCTTGAACTTGCACCTGAGCGGGCATAACCGTTGGGTGGGGGTGCGAGGTTGGTGCCTGCCGATCCTCGCGCGTCACGACGGTGTCGATTCGTTTCAACGGCGCGGATGACTACAGTTGTGGCAAGGGATCTGCTGGGCGACACCGCCACCACCACGAGCCTTGATCCAAAGGCATTGGTGGACGGGGCAATACGGTACCTGGCGGCAGCTTGGGTGCCTCGGACGCATGGGCTGTCGCCGCCACTCGTTTTTCGCGCGCGACATGGCTGGCTACTGCTGCGACGGTCTCGCAAAAGCTCCGTACAAGATACTAAACTGGTAGCCGTGGTGCGAGACGCCGTGATTGCTCATTCATACGGCCACTTGTCAATTCTTTGCTGGCGAGAGGAGAACTCGACTACAATGTATGTCAATGGGACTGATTCACTGTACTTGATGCCTTTTGCGTCGACCTGAAGTGTGTCGTCTCGGCCCTCCGGAGCGATTCAAACAAACAAGACGTAGACACTGTACGAGGTAAATTAACAGGGTAAATTAGAAAGACTGGGCAAACGCGTGGCGCGCCTGTACAAACGCTTGCGGGCTCCGTACGACGTCGTGACGAACGACCCACACCTCTTGAACGACGGTCGTTGAAGCGTCCAGCGCCGTGGCGACGATCCTACGCAGCCACATTAGCGTCTGCAGCCATGCGTCCAATGACGAGCGTACCAGCCTCGAATGTGCTCGTGTGGCGTGCTCGCGACAACCAGCGTCGTCTGATTTCGGTCGGCGAATGCGCGCGTCACAAAGGCATGCGCGCCGAGCCCAAAGTCCCAATGCCGGTGCGAAGAAGACGCCGGCAACGGAAGAGGATCGGCGTCGGTGCTTTCTTCTTTGAGACGCTATGGACGACGATCGAACAAAGTGAGTCGAGATTTTCTTCAAGAAAGAGGCGTGTACCATGGTGGCATCATCCAAAAGCGTCTCGCGTGTAGCACTGCACCCAGACGTCGTGATACGATCCTGAAGAGGATCGGTCACTTCAAGAAGGGGCTCGGGCAAGAACTGGCGGCCGTACGCAGCCGCGACGGTGTCGAGGTCCACTGGTACATGCATCTCGAGACGGGCAAAGACGTCGTCTTGGCCTTGGACGACCGACCGCGTGTTCATATACATGCGCTGGGTGATCCACTCGAGGCTCAAGTGGCGTGCCTGCGGCTCGTCTGGCAACGGCGAGGTCTACATGATAATAATGATACATGCAGGCAAGGAGGCAGAGAAAATGGGACGTACGCTGTGGACAAAGGAGGCCATGGCGTCGCAGAGCGCGCGCTGGTGTGCGACTTGGTGCAGGAGGGCGGCGTGCTCTTCGTGGGCGGCGTGGGTTTCTTCGGCGAGCGCGACGGCCGTGTCTTGCCACGACACCATTTGAAGCGCCTTTTGCAGTGTGACGTAGGCCTCGAGCATTGCGGCCGAGTGCCGGAGACTCCGGCGCTCGTCGGCTTCGTTGCGGCGGTAGATGCGCTGCATCTTGCGCTGGTATTCGTTGCGGCATTTCGGAGCCGCTTTCATGCGCTTCGTCGAGTGGGGAACCGGCGAAAGTGACAAAGATGCTTTTGTCGTGTGCGTCATGCTCGGCAAATTGGAAAGTGCAATCTCAAAGGGGTACACAAATCTAATTTTTTTATTTCGTATTATTTTTTTAGCGCCGTTGTGATATGCGTTGGCGCCGGCCGCGGTGGGTGAGACACGAACTCGTAACGCGCCGACAGCCCCGCGTCGGCGTTCTTCAAGCCCTACTCTTCGTGAAGCGGTACAGTGTAGTGGCGACCGTAGTAGCTTTGGCGGAGATATTCCAGGCAGGTCGGCGGCTACTGAAAAGAGAGTGTCTTTCCCACAGTCGTAGCAGACTAGCCCAACGGCCGTTCTCGCAAGGACTACGACAACGACGTCGTACGCCGATGAGTCGATAGCCCCACCAAAAAACACTGCCTGTTGAGACGCAACGTATGGTGAAGACAGGGCTGCGGACAGCATGGACTTGGAAAGCGGGTGCGAACACACATTGGCCGCTCGGTCTGCACAGGTCCAGATGGAGGCCCTGGGTCAGAAACACACGCCTCAACAGCCTGTGTAGCAACCTCGGGGCGATGCAACAACAAAAGAAAAAATCCAAGTGGATACAGTCGTGTGAGCACGAGTAGCCACATGTTGAAGGTACGTTTTGGGGTCAACCGATCATTCCCAAATGGGACACGTGCTGATGACGACCGCACGCAGAGGCGGCGAGCATGTCCGAGCAATCAGAGCCAGTGCCGATCGCATCAGCGTGATGCGATTGGTAAAAGAGCCGCAGCGGGCTTGGACGTCACGTGGCACGAAGGAAGCGAGCGACGACGAAGGAGCGACCGATCAAAGTGTGTTACTGCTACCACACAAGTAGCCGCCAAATAGTGCACTGTACGCGCGACATGCAGTGCGGGCAATCGAGCGAATACTAAACGCATCTTGACTGCAGACCTGAGGCACTGGGCAGCCCACTGACCACTGCAGACTACGGGCCAAGTCCCACTGTGCACGAGTAATAGGGAAGCGATGGGCACTGGACTTGGTCACGCTTGCGATGGATATCTGAAAAAGGTGGCACGTGGGAATGGCCAATATTAATTTCTTTGTCAGCGTGGGAAATCCCGTGTACAACACAATTGCCACCGTGCTTCTAACGGTGAAAAAGGTGGTGTAAATACTCAAGGTGGAAACAAGAATCATCAAGCGGACGTAAGATCGCGTGGGTGCTCGTGTCGAGGATGGGTCGACCACCTGGGTGGCGACGAGCACATGTGTTGCGAGTCGTATGTGAGTTATCTTTTCCCATCTTTCTGCAAATCGCAATTACTATACTGAAGGCGGGATTGTACATGAGCAGGAGATGTCGTCCATGTCAGCAGACACACCGCGGCGCATGCTGCCGTGTGCTGCCGAGAAGCCAAACCACCCGTGTATCGCAGAAGATCTGGGACGACCTGAACACCGTGGGACGCAAAATGCGGGAAGATGTGCATGTTCTTTTTCGACTTTGGCATGTTGAGCGTGATGCGAGATTCTATCGCTGCACCAAAACCGCTGGATTTCTCACGGGATGTTCTTGTATGCTTGATGCAGCGCAGATGGCCAGATGCGGTCGCAAACATCACGAGCTGCACGAAGCGTATCGATGAAACTTGCCAATCGCGCGCCAAATAGATACTTTTCGGATTGGTAGCAGAGTCTCTTCGTCCGAGACTCGGGTTGCAGGCAGCTGTACGGCGCGTCTGATCATTTGAAAAAGCGAAAAGCAAGCGACGGTCGAGTCTCTACCATATGTCAAAATGTGCATATCCCTGGTTGATCTCGATGAATATACGCATGGTCTTCTCCATTGTCTGTCCAGTGAAAGGATGGTCTTCGGCAGCTACAGAGAAAAAAAGTTACAAGCGAAAAGAATTTTATCGCATATCGATACAGAGTCCCCTATCGCAGCAGCGATTTCTGTCGAGGTCAAATGCACGTGTGGCTGCGTTTCGCTCCGCGACAAGATACCAAGCGGGAATACCCTTCCCTTTCATCGTCACCGAGGGAATCTCAAAGCAAGGAATATGACGAGAGGAGAAATTGGAGCGGCTTTAATGCGGCGACTAGACTGTGCCGACTGCCAACTCGATTACGATTCTCTCCAAGAGCTGCAACCTCGCTGTGCGATACCGCTGCCAAGACGTTGTACACTCTTTAAAATCGCGTGCAGCCCACTTGCGGATCGGGTTGATGTTGACGTTGGAAATTGAGTGATGAGATGTGCTGGCCCACGTACGATGCTTGACGGAAAACGTGCCTGCCAACAACAGCGCAAACTTTTCAACTGATCTTCTTCGTAGCATGTCTAGTTGCTGAGTAATAGAAGCTGGAAGACGGACCATT